TGTGCAGTAAGTCCCATAGCAAGGGCTGTCAGCGCCAGCCGAAATGGCTCTCATGTGTCGCGGTCTTAAGGTACCTTAACACGGATGGATTTTGACAAACTATAACTTGTTGGATGGCAGATGAATAGGCAAACAAGCTGACAAATCGGCAAGGCTTCAGACTTGAAACTTTTGGAGTGAGCCCCAGACATAGGTACATGATGCCCCCAGTTTCGTTTTTGTGCAGTAAGTCCCATAGCAAGGGCTGTCAGCGCCAGCCGGCATGGCTCTCATGTGTCGCGGTCTAAAGGTATCTTAACATGGATGGATTTTGACAAACTATAACTTGTTGGATGGCGGATGAATAGGCCAACAAGCTGACAAATCGGCAAGGCTTCAGACTTGAAACTTTTGGAGTGAGCCCCGGACATAGGTACATGATGCCCCCAGTTTCGTTTTTGTGCAGTAAGTCCCATAGCAAGGGCTGTCAGCGCCAGCCGAAATGGCTCTCATGTGTCGCGGTCTAAAGGTACCTTAACATGGATGGATTTTGACAAACTATAACTTGTTGGATGGCGGATGAATAGGCCAACAAGCTGACAAATCGGCAAGGCTTCAGACTTGAAACTTTTGGAGTGAGCTCCAGACATAGGTACATGATGCCCCCAGTTTCGTTTTTGTGCAGTAAGTTCCATAGAAAGGGCTGTCAGCTCCAGCCGGCATGGCTCTCATGTGTCGCGGTCTAAAGGTACCTTTACATGGATGGATTTTGACAAACTATAACTTGTTGGATGGCGGATGAATAGGCCAACAAGCTGAAAAATCGGCAAGGCTTCAGACTTGAAACTTTTGGAGTGAGCCCCAGACATAGGTACATGATGCCCCCAGTTTCGTTTTTGTGCAGTAAGTCCCATAGCAAGGGCTGTCAGCGCCAGCCGACATGGCTCTCATGTGTCATGGTCTAAAGGTACCTTAACATGGATGGATTTTGACAAACTATAACTTGTTGGATGGCGGATGAATAGGCCAACATGCTGACAAATCGGCTAGGCTTCAGATTTGAAACATTTGGAGTGAGCCCCAGACATAGGTACATGATGCCCCCAGTTTCGTTTTTGTGCGGTAAGTCCCATAGCAAGGACTGTCAGCGCCAGCCGACATGGCTCTCATGTGTCGCGGTCTAAAGGTACCTTAACATGGATGGATTTTGACAAACTATAACTTGTTGGATGGCGGATGAATAGGCCAACAAGCTGACAAATCGGCAAGGCTTCAGACTTGAAACTTTTGGAGTGAGCCCCGGACATAGGTACATGATGCCCCCAGTTTCGTTTTTGTGCAGTAAGTCCCTTAGCAAGGGCTGTCAGCGCCAGCCGACATGGCTCTCATGTGTCGCGGTCTAAAGTTACCTTAACATGGATGGATTTTGACAAACTATAACTTGTTGGATGGCGGATGAATAGGCCAACAAGCTGACAAATCGGCAAGGCTTCAGACTTGAAACTTTTGGAGTGAGCCCCAGACATAGGTACATGATGCCCCCAGTTTCGTTTTTGTGCAGTAAGTCCCATAGCAAGGGCTGTCAGCGCCAGCCGACATGGCTCTCATGTGTCGCGGTCTAAAGTTACCTTAACATGGATGGATTTTGACAAACTATAACTTGTTGTGTGGCGGATGAATAGGCCAACAAGCTGACAAATCGGCAAGGCTTCAGACTTGAAACTTTTGGAGTGAGCCCCAGACATAAGTACATGATGCCCCCAGTTTCGTTTTTGTGCAGTAAGTCCCATAGCAAGGGCTGTCAGCGCCAGCCGACATGGCTCTCATGTGTCGCGGTCTAAAGGTATCTTAACATGGATGGATTTTGACAAACTATAACTTGTTGGATGGCGGATGAAAAGGCCAACAAGCTGACAAATCGGCAAGGCTAAAGATTTGAAACTTTTGGACTGAGCCCCAGACATAGGTACATTCTGTCCCCAGTTTCGTTTTTGTTCAGTAAGTCCCATAGCAAGGGCTGTCAGCGCCAGCCGACATGGCTCTCACGTGTCGCGGTCTAAAGGTACCTTAACATGGATGGATTTTGACAAACTATAACTTGTTGTGTGGCGGATGAATAGGCCAACAAGCTGACAAATCGGCAAGGCTTCAGACTTGAAACTTTTGGAGTGAGCCCCAGACATAGGTACATGATGCCCTCAGTTTCGTTTTTGTGCAGTAAGTCCCATAGTGAGGGCTGTCATGTGTCGCGGTCTAAAGGCTACATTTATTATGTAAAGTTATTATGTAAAGTTGCCAGATCGAGGCTCTGCATGCCATGGCGGATGTGTGAAAAGAGCGAATTGCCCATTGGCGCCATGCCAAGTGGGGCCAATTTTGCCTTGAATCAAAATTTTGAGAACAAGAACGAAACCAGTATCATTTGATAGCTTAGGACTTGTAGATTTATGGAAATATAATTTAAGAATGATTTAAGATTAGACTAATTAGTTAACTTAAGAACGGCCCGAAAAGCGCGGAGGGTGGGCGTGGCCGTCACCCCCTCCTTTCCTTTTCGCTTTTTGCAATGCAACGGTAGAGGAGAAAATGAAACCAGTTTGGATTATAAAAATATAACTTAAGAGTGGTTTTAGATCAGACTAATTACATTTAGAGTGGCGGGAAAAGCGCGGAGGGGCGGGGCCTCACACCCCTACCATGTACACTTTAGCTCCTATCGTCGCAAGGCATTTGTTAAATCCTGCCAAGTTTCTTTCACATCTATCGGTAGTTCTGATGTCTTGCGGTTATTTGGACACCAAGTGTATGAAAATAGGGCAAACCTTCGTCACAAATGTTTCCAATACCAAAGCATTCTTCAAAACTTCTGATTTACGATCTTTGCAAGGCCGGAATCAAAGTAGCCAAAGCGCTTTACCCAACCATGAAACATTATTTCTAGTTCACGATATCCAGCCACATTTTTTTAACCCTTTTGCCAAACTCACTGGTGCATGAAAAAGGGGACATGGGGATCAGATGCTCTAAATAACGAAATCGTCTTTGGGTCTTAATTCGTGAGATCCTGTAGAACAATAGTCAAAATTAATTTTTGATTCACTATTTGGACTTGGGACATGAAAAGTTGGCATTTTGAATTAATAGTGGAAATGGGGATACAAAGACCGCTGATCTCTCACATGGCCGTCGCGAGGGGGAGGGGTAAGGGGGCCCTGGAAAAGAAAAAAAAGGGGGGGGGGGAAGGGGGAAAAACAGAAAAGGGAAAGGAGAAGAGGCTAGGCGCGAAGTCATTACTGTTCATTTAATGGGGTGATGTCCCTGTGTCCACCCTCGAAAATCCGAAATACGCTGGAAGAGTACAGTTTTTTTTTAAGGGGGCTGTGCTTTGCCCCCTTTAGAAAAAAATCCTGGCGACGCCACCAGCTATGAATTTTCCCCACCTTTGAAAGTTCATTATGGTAAGAATTCATATCGTAAGATTAGATATGGGTCGTGGAAAAGTAGGGTTTGAATAATACATCTTTAAATATCAATAAACAGGGTATATACAAAGTTAATTGACCTTTGAAAGTGACCAGAAGGTAAAAATGAAACATTTTCTCACATCCGATCATTACATTCATTTTATCATGAAGAACAAACGTACGAAGTTTCATGCTTTAGTCTCAAAGTGCACAACTTTTGACGATATTTGACCTTCACAGCTCTGTCAGCCTATACCGACAGTCACTGCCCCCTTAGGATTCAATTAAATCTTTAGCTTTAAACCGGAAAACTGATATGTACTATAGAATTTATTTTTTAAATTCGCCAGCTCAGATCAGTCCTGCTACCTGTGCTTTCGCATTATTACCCATTATTTTAAGCAGAAGTCGATATCTCTAATGAAACGAGTCCCGAACATCTATCGACATCTGTAAAGTTTTAATTCCACCTGTTAAAATGTTTTGTTATCATGGTTATTTAGAGTCGGCACTCTCATGCGCCCTCCGACGTATGTCATACATACATAATGGAAAAGTTAACATTTTTAGCCTGTACCTGTTTTGGTATTTGAACATTTTGTGGCGAAGGGCCCTATTTTCATAAATTTGGTGTCAAAATAATCGCATATGACATCAGAACAACTGTCAGAGAAATAAATAAATGCATTGCGACGATAGCAGCCAAAATGTACGCGGAAAGGGTTGCAACCCCGCCCCCCCCCCCCCGCGATGTTTGCGCCGCTCTTAAGTTAAGTAGTCTGACCAAGAAGGAACTCTTAAGTTATATTGTAGTCTGACCTAAAACCACTCTTAAATTATATTTTTATATTCCATGAGTGTTAAAGCATCAATACAAACTGGTTTCATGTTCTCCTCTACCGGTTTGAAACGGCCGTTAAGACTGATTCATTACTCTTTTGGTCCAGCTTAGAGATTTTTTTCTCGTTGAAAAGCGTTATAATGTAGGAAAGTCTGTAAAATTTATCTGTGTTGTAAATTTACAATTCCCGTCACTTGCTCGGGCTCTGTTTCGAATCACGAACGGTCGGATTGCATTATGCAACGCTCAAAATTGTGTCCACATGGTCCACCGTGAAACAGAAACCACATCCGATATGGAATGTGCGCATTTCTATGGTAAGTTTTCGGATAGCATTTGCGCACATTGTCTAACTGCGGTCTTATATAGCTGCAGCCAGATGCTTTATACATAGGTCATAGGCATAGATATTTATTCTATATCTATGGTCATAGGCCACTTCCTTCACAAGATTCTGTGCCAACTCATCAGCCTCCCGAGCGGAGCTGTTTGCCGGGGCGCGGGGGGTCACGAGCGAAACCATGCAACGTCTACCCCTTACACTATGCAACAGTAAGACATTAGGTTGTCTTTTCTTTCAACCAAATTTTTAGAATAGGATAAGTAAACAATCCAAAACATGAAATTTTCGGGGATTTCAGGACGGAGTGTTCCTTTAATTGAATTTTATCACATTTCACCTATTGCATATTCATTATAAAACTGTGAACTTTGACATTCTGATGCATTCTGGGAGTCTCCGCTCGAGCGCTACCGAACTGGCAGGGCATGGAATTTTGTTACGCAGCTGGACAAAAATTCCCCGACAAATTTCGGCTTTTCCCACCACATTTTTCTGAAAACTGAACTCAAAGCATTAAAACACCATGAGCGATAAGTCATTGGAGGACTTCTTTGCGAAGAAAGACAAGAGCAAAAAGAGTAAAAGCAAGAGCAAATTTGCGAAAAGCACGACGGAAGAAATCGCCAAGCGACTCACCGAAGCCGATCTGAAGAAGGAGCGAAAAGAAAAAGAGAAAGAAAAGCCACCGCCTCCAAAAGAAACAGAGGACAAAAGTAAAGTAAAGGATATCATAGGGGTAAGGCTGATTACTCTTTTTTCCATGACCAATTTAAGATACATGTAAATTGTAATGTTTTTTTCGGTAATTAGGTAATTAGGGCAATTAGCATGACATGCATGATTAGGCCTATTTTTACTTAGCTTGAGTAACTTCAGCTCTAGGCCCCCTAAATTATTATCGCATTAGAATGCGATGAATGCGATGAATGAATTAGATGAATCAGATTCAGTCTCGGCAAATTTGGCACTTGGATCTGAGATTACATGTACACATGTTCATGTAGCAGCATATCTCACGCATGCTATATTCTAGTCTTAGTCCAAGACTGGATTTGATTTTGTATTCTCCTATTTTTTAGAAGTCCCATGGCAAACGCGTTAAAGTTGCTGCGACAGTGGAGGTCTGTATCAACAAGATGATACAGTCAATTTAGTCTTGGTGATATTGGCGGTGCTTTTCTGGAAATTCCAAGCGTACCTCACACCTGTGCATTACCTTGCATACAGCGAGGTATGCTCGGAATTGCCTGGGTAGCACTGCCAGTATTGCCAAGACTGGATTTGATATACATGTACTATTGATAGAAGGGGAATAAAATTTAAAACAAGTCTTGGAGTGGACCAAGACTAGCTATATGTTCAAGGTATTCCCAGAATTTCTTGGTTCCCAAGCTTGATACTTGTATGAAATAGCTTATGAAACCGACCTTTACTGCCCTATTGGCTCAACTATGCTTATTTATTATTTTGGGGATTGGCTGCGTTAGGGGAACAAAATTCCAAATCAAGTCTTGGTCAGTCCCACTCCCAGTGTCTGGGTCACGTTTATCTGGCTACCCCAAATGCAGGTACATGTAGTATCCCTTCTAAGTGTAGGAATTTACTTATAGCTACCATTTGCAATGCTTATTCAGGATGAAGATGATTGGAGAGACAATGAGGAGGAAAAGGAAAAAGACTACAGTGGGTTGAAGATCCAGCTACAGATAAGGTTGGTTACTTATGTTGCTAAAAGGCTGGACCTTTTTTATCTTTAATTATTGATCGCTGATTTGGTCTAAACTCGTAAATTTGGCTCAAGGAAAGAAAAGGAAAAACTTCAATAAAATACCGACAGTTCTAGTGTTTTGTTCAATTTACTCAATGTTCATGCTAATACGCAACGTATCACTCTCCATACGGAAATCATTTCAGTAGTCGTAGTACGCACCCAGTTGTAGTAGGTACGTGCATCGTGTATTACCCTGTCGTAGTAAGTGCATGCAGCATGTACTGCACACATGTAGCGTGAAGTGCAGTGCCTCACGACAGGTTTTAAACATTGCTGACCTGCAAGGGCGGATCCAGAACACAATTTGGGGGGGGGCCAAAAAAAAATTTGGTCCCCCCAAAAAGTGGTAAAAAAAATTACGGCGTGGGGTTCGGGGCCCGCTTAAGGGCCCCGAAAATTTTTTGGATTCTAGATGCTCTGTGGTGCGATCTGAGGCAATTTCTGACCACTTTAACCAATGTTTTTTTGAGGAAAAGATGGTGGTGTACTCATTGCCTGCCTTTATTGCGATGTCACATAAAAAAAAAAAAATTGGTTTCGTTTTTGGGGGGGCCATGGCCCCCTTTGGCCCCCCCCCCTGGATCCGCCCTTGCTGACCTGTGTTTAAACAGCAATTTAGACCACCCACATGACAGGTTCGCGACCAAAAGATATTTATGAATTCATTATCACTTACTGAAACATTGGCACACTTGTAATTTGTGCCACATACTGTGCAATGCAAACAGCCTGAATAAAAACTTTGGGCTCACTTTCGCGAAGCTCCCAAACAGAAATTATTGTTTAGCAAATGTGTGTGCTAAGCATTAATCACCAGAGAACCAGTTCAAACCATGTACATTAAATGAGATTTTGGTTGGTAACATGTTTTTACTAAGAAATCATTTTCATGCACCCTAACCCCCTAGGCCCTCTGTCTAGGATGCAGCCTCAATCCTGCACAATCCTCCAATTGCCACCAAGAAAAAAATTTGATTCAGCCTCAATCCTCCAAAATCATCCTTTGTTTTCTTGAATTTAGTCTGTGGAGGGTGACCACTGCCTCAATCCTCCAAAATCCTCTGCCTGTTACTGTTATGGTTTGAGGCAGTGCAAATGGCGTTTAGAAGCAATGCAGATGAAATAGGAGAAAAATACAGGGCTGATTTATGCATGGCTGAACATAACCAATGCAGGATACCAGTATGGCCTACTGGCTTGATGTAATGCATCCTCCACAAAAAGTGATACATCTTTGCCATTCATCCTCAATCCTCTAAAATCATCCAAAACCGGCAGGAGGATTTTGGAGGATTGAAGAGGGTTAGGGTTAAAGGATGAGACTGAGCATTTAATTTTGTAAACGTGTAACAAATATTTTAAGAACTGTTTAACCCATTAGCACCTTGACTTCGTTGTATTACAGTGTACATGTATTTATTCACTGGAAAATCAATAAAACCATAGAGTGCTCGGGCTTGGCTGTACAGTGAGTTATAGGCAGGGCGGTTTGGGGCGCTACAGTGACAAAAGGGTTAAACGTTTACGTTAATAACCCCCAGGCCCTTTTTGCTAAGAACCATCCTCAATCCTCCAAAATCCTCCAAAATTTTGCAACTCCGCCTAAATTTTTCAAAATTGTCGGACAGTCCTGCCTCAAAATGCATTCATCGTCAATCCTCCAAAATCCTCCTCATCCCAAAATTTGCACTCGTGTCTAAATGAAGGATAACCAACACCAAATCCTTCAAAATCATCAGACAGTCCTGCCTCAAAATGCATTCATCCTCAATCCTCCAAATTCCTCTTGTGCTTCAATCACCATTCATCCTCAATCCTCCAAATCCTCATGTGCTTCAATCACCATTCATCCTCAATCCTCCAGAATCCTCATTTGATTCAATCACCATTCATCCTCAATCCTCTAGAATCCTCCAAAACCGCCAGGAGGATTTTGGAGGAGTGAGGTGGGTTAGGGTTAAGCCATTTCACAAAGGCTGACGCCTGCCCATTATGTCTGCAGATACAATGTAGTCCTGATTGACATGATATAAAATCAACAATGACTGGGCAGTCATTGTAAAAGTAAAACCTTCACTACGTGTACCTCGAAAGCAATCCAGCACTGCGGTGCTGATAAGGTTTTGTAAATTGAATAGTTTTGAAACTGCCGTTAATTGTTTGTGCTATGTATCTTTAACTTGAAGGAAGATCGCATGAACGTAGGACCCTAATTTATAATTCGGGTTTCATTTGAACGTTTTGAACAATTTATAATATTTTATGTTTAAACATGTAAACGTCACATCCTTAATGCTTTGCGCCATTCTGTGCTAAGTAGCTTCAGGAATCTGGCCCACTGATGCATTTCCCTCTTTGTTTATCATTCTCTCTCTTTCAGTGCAAATCCTGATCAAGATGTGGAGGAAGAGGAAGAAGAAGAACTGGATGAGAATGGGGAACCAGTCAAGAGCAAAGGAGCAGGGCATAGTGGGCCGTGGAAAAAGATAGACGCAGGTAGGAAACCGTTGTTTGAAAATCCCTTGGGTCAAGACTGGATTGCAGGAGGTCTATATCCTTGGTAAACCTTTATCAAGCTGTCGAGCAGTAGAGGGGCTATCAACAAGATGAATCATATCCATGGACTTTGGCACTCAGACCGAGAAATTCTGAGCTTACCTTTAAAACAGAAATGCTACACTGTTATATTTTTGCAGTGGTTCTTGTTACGTAAATGTAGCAGTGAGACACACATCAGTGTAGGGTCGCCTCGTCGCAAGGCCTTGCCGAAAAAACTATATTTTGTTGAAAGGGCTACAGGTCGATGTCATGGCCAGTTAAATGTTCTGATAGGTCAGAATGCTCCCTTTATTAAAATTTTGGTTTTTTTTGTATCACTTGAGTTTCTAAGTTCAGCTGTTCATTGCTTTACCTTGTAGAAAGTATACATGTAGTGTAAACAGGATCATTTGAACTAGCATACTTGTGCAGAGTACCGTTAACACACCTTTATTAAAACTGACTTACGCTGTACACGGTATGTTTTAGATGGGGACAAAGAAGCAGAGGCCGCCCCGCCCCCGAAACCCGCAGAGCCAGTAGCTCCAGCATCCAATGTGGTGGTCGGCGGGAAGTATGTACCACCCAGCATGCGCGGCCAGCAGGCCGGTAGCAAATCTAGTATGACCCCTTCCAGGTTAACCGGGAGGAGCAAGACCGCTCCACAGATCTCCAGTGAGCAAGAGTTCCCCTCCTTAGCAGCCAGCTCCGATATAGCTAAACACACGTGAGTTGATATTTTTATATTGATTTCTTCATTAACCCTTACTCTCTGAGGGTAGTTTACTGCATGTCAGTTGGTTATGCCAATGCCCTCCAGCTGCAGTTTATTGGCAGATACTATAGTTTGTCAGTGAAGGCTCCAATTGGCAGGAGTTGGAGGCCCTGGAGGGTGCCTGATACTGACCAGCTGGGGGCACTCACTTTGTTATCAGAGGACTCTCATTGTTCTCTGTGGCATGTATTGGAGTGCCTGTCCAGTTACCCTTGAAATGACATGGCAGATATTGGAGGGCCATGCAAAAAACATAGGAGATTTTCTTGAGGCACATATTGGCATGCGTTGGAGGGTCTAGTAGGGTAAGGGTTAAATTATCTTGTTCTATGAATTATGGACACAGCTTTACATTGCATTTTTCATGAAAGCTGGCAAATAAATTGCCCTCGTGGAACATACATGTACATGTATATATAGAGTGGTGCAGTTTCGTGTTTAATTTATTGTTCAATTTTTTCAACTTGGACTTGATCGAATATTTGAATATTCAATTTCAAGATGCAATGATCAAGTTCAACATGTGATAGCCTGCACTGGCCCCTAGTATTGATTTGTGTGCACCTACACTCGGTGAAAATTGACTAAGAGCTTTTCAAAATAGTAAACAGGTAGTGGAATGGCTGATACTTGAACGAATTTAAGAAGAAATTTCAGCTAAATAATAAACTCGTGGAAGTTCTCAAATCATGCCTTAAATTGGCATTCAACAAACAATTAAACCACACACGTTGTATATTTTTCATCTTCGTCTCAAGACCGCTCCCATTTTTAAAAATATTTGCATCGAAAAAATGTTATTTGGATATTCAGTCGGTGATCAAATATTCGGTATATTGTGCACATATTTTGCACAACATACTTCAGTGCCCGAAATTTTCATCCAGGGATCAAAAGTTATGGAGTTCTAAGTCATCGATAGCGTGATCCTTTTAGAGATCATTGGAAACGTTTACAATTTTTGCCAAGGTCAGCATAGTTTACAAGCCAGTCATTTCTATTTTGAAAAGCATAGTACATCCCTTAATGTAACACCAAGAAATGTATGGTTGTGTGCGGAGAAAGTTGTCAGTCTGTAAACATTATTTGATTTTTGTGCCACTTCTGTTTTGATTTTGCAGTGACAAGAACTCCGACAAGAATTTTGAAAAGGTGACGAGGGGAGGTCCAAGCATAACCAACCCCGGAAGCCAAGGACCCAAGCTGGATCTAGAAAACCGCTTTGCAGCCCTCGGACAAAACTGACACTTGGGAAGCTGTCCCAAACCCCTAGAGAACGAGAAATTACACCCAAAAAAACCACAAACTGAATTTATGAAACTCACTCATCATGATCATTGATCGTCCTAAAAGTGCTGAGGTGCTGGCTGTGTACATAGACCTGAAAAGAATGAGAGTGTTTAAAAGTCGGAAACTATAACTCATCTGACAGGGATGGAAAAAAATCAGCAGAGGCTTCCAGTGATTGGCAAGGGATCGTGATATTGGGGGAATTTTTCATTCTCTTGAAGGAATGGAAGCGGAGTCGGACATCCTGGACCTGCTGTAAATACATTGATGGATACGTTGAGACTCGACACTGGAATTCTAACCCTGCCCACAGAGGTCAACGATGCATCAACGGTTAAAGTTTGTACCTGTCTGTGATTAGGTTTCTACCAAGGATCACTGCTTATTTGAGATCTTCCGCAACTTGATTTGAAGGATGTCTCCTCAAAATTATGAAAAATATTAAAATGTACACATTTGAATCATGCTACTCCATTAGATGTTATTGGTTCGTTTGGGGTCGGATATTTTTGTTTTTCATTTCAGGGTGCAAACTTATAACAACAAGGGCTAGTTTTTCATGGGACACCACTAGCCATACTGTACTTTCAAACAGTGATCATGACTTGAAGACAGCAATGCCATTATTGGAATAAGTCTTCCTGCACTTACGGAATGGCTTCTTTTATAAATATGTGTTTTGAAAAGCGTATACTTTCAATTTGTTGCCCAGTGGACAAACACTTTCATTACATATATACGAGCAATGTGGGACTGGCTAACTTTTAATTTTGCATCCCTGAATTGGGAATAGGGGATTGCAAAGGGGCATTCAATTTAAATCTCTACTGTCTCTGCATAAAAAAAATGTCATTTGCCAATCTGTACTACACCCAAAAGCTTTTGATTTTTTTTCTTCTCACTAGCCCTCAGACAACACCGAGTATACAGTGTTTATAAAATAGTTGGTGTACTCGGCGAAGGTCAAAACCCAATATAAAATTGATATCTCCCTGATGCACTTCCACCTTGTATTGTAACAAAACAATCTGTGCTAGGAGTTGCTCAACTTTTTGTGTGCTTCTTGTGGTGAAAATGTGCGAATAGCTGTCAAGTGACGGACTGGAATCCTGGCCTAATATGATGGGTAGTGACCTCAAGTGGCCTGAGATTTCATTGGTTGCTATCTACCTTGCCGGTTCTTCCTTTCCTGTTGTCCGATTGGCCAAATACTCAAGTGTGCATAGATGTGGAACACATTGGTTGTGTTGGAGTAGCTAACACATGTAAGTAAATGTACACAAGAGCGTTCGATTAGCCATCACGGGATGCTCGTGGCTGCACCGGTATCAACCACCACTCACGAGCAGGTCTCTGGTGGATGCCCAGATGTAATGATGTAGCTGGACAAATTGGGTGCTAGATTGAAAATGACGGGAACTTGAATTGAATTCGAAGAACTACATGTAGAGTACAAATGTAGAGATTTGTTACTCAAACAAAATGCAGTTTACGTTAACGGGATCAATTGGACAGACATATTTTTGATAATTCAGAGCATGTCTTCGGATTCCAGCATTGATTGATCTTGTTACAATGATAAAACCTAATTCCATTTTACCAGCGGAGCAGACGACAGTATGTCTGGTGTGTTTACATTCCCGCCATGTAACACCCTTTGACCTTAATTTTCCCAGAATGCCAGGCAAGTACACCACAGCATTTGATTAGCCTCATTTCGTAGCTTCCTCGAGTGTAAACCCTGTGTATACTCGGGGTAGCCTACTGGAATGGCCCCATTGATGATAGGAATTCGCATGGAAATACATGTATGTACTTATCGGCATTGTTGGGCCAATCATGCACTGGCTCACTGACTCTGTAATTGAGATTGAGGCGGTGTTTCAGTGACATCTGAATTCCATTTTCCATTGAGCGCCAATTCTTGGATGCATACCACATGAATACACTGCAAGTTAGTGCACAACTGCACATTCATTTGGGAGTTGTGCAAATTTGGCTTTGCGAACCAATGCGCGCAGTACCACAGTGCCCTTGATTTGCTTGTTTGCCACACATTATCCCCTGTAAAATGTATGGCATTATATGAAAACTATTCTGTCCTTTTAATGAATAGAAACGGAAATGAAAGAAGTCCTTGTATGTTTTTCCTTTTGGGTTGATTGTTTAGTTAAAATATAAGATTTACTAGCAGTTATTTTATTGGCTATGTAAACTACTTGATAATGATATGTGTATGTCGTCACACCAAAACACAGCTCTGCTTACCTGTAAATTAGTGTCGGTTTTCATAACCCATTCAATCGGTTAAAGGCAATTTTTTTGTGCTAGTGTTCAGACTAAGTATCCATCGACATTTATTAACCATTAGCATTTGTATTATATTGTACTCCACTGTATTTACTCCTTCATGAACCCATAAAACATGAAGTATTGCTTTAGATAAAGCAGAATTGATGCACATGTATTAAGTACATGTATCCTTTTAAAACATGACATTGTGATCCAACGAGATCAATGATGAAGTTTAGGTCAAGCTGCAAATCTTGTACATGTAATACTTTCATGGCATTTATTTGCTAAAAGAATTTATTACAAAACAGTCATCAACGGAAGGTAAATGTTAATGCGGCATTCTAAATGCCAGTGTCATTTGCATATGTACAGCACATAATAAAATGTCAAACACCATGTTTAACAATCATGGTGCCAACTGAAAATATTGAATTTGCATCTTTTATTGATACTTTTATCTTCTTAACTTTACCTGCTTAAAACCACTTTTTGTGGGGTGAATCAATACTTTTTTTTTGCCAGATACTTGGTAAGTTATTTAAACTGATGAAGTTCAAGGATGTTGGGTTATATTGTGTGAAAAAAAGGACAAATAATACAGAATTTAAAATTAAGCAAAACTCGTTGAATATTTGGGGGTCCTTTGTTACATGCATACACGCAATTATCTTCTTTTTTTCATTTTCATTGTACTGTTTGTATCTTGCGTTACAAGTTCAACATCTCATTGGTAAAATAGGTAGTTATTTGCTTAAATCATTTATTTGAAATTCACCACAATGTGTAACTGTTGCACTTGGGGAAAAAATGAAGACTCTTGCACTGTGTTATACATGTTGCATACGAATACATGTATGTTCATTCAATGTGGCCAAAGCTAGTAATTACTTTTCAACCCAACAGTGTGGATACGTTGGAGTCGGTCAAAGAGACTCCACTTTCTGGCATGACTCGTTTCTCATTTTGGCACCCCCTGTTGGCGAGCAAGCTAAACTGCCAGGCTAACATATGCCATAAAACAGACTGGAATATAAATCACAGCTAATTTGTCTGAGCATTCACTTGAATCAAATGCTGTGGTATTATATGAATAAGTTTACTAAATACATGTACATGCACTAGGCATGGGACATGTTCATTCCCTCCCCCCCCCCCCCCCCCCAATTTGGATAGTTGTGGGTGCCACATACATGTACTGCAGACCTCTGCTTCCCTCTACTTCTGTTCTCATTTAATTTACTACCAGAATCTCCAACTCCACTGTGTGCAAGCATTTAACATTTCCTTGGATCAGCGATTTCTAGTTTTCCTCTTCACACTTACGCCCACCAAAAACTGAAAAACATTGCGCAAAATCTTGTTGAGCCTACAATGTTCTCTTTTTCATTACTTTCAAGTTGTACATGTATGCCTGATTGTGGGGTCCCAGTGTCCCTAATGGCGCGCCTTCGGTAGCCAAGTACAGTAAGCCATGTACGTTCATGTTTTGATTTGATTTGGTTTGATTTTAATTGCTTTGATTCGTTTCCAAACATCGCAATTATAAAACTTCACTATTAAAATTAACGGAATATACAGCAATCAAACTTATTCCCGACACTTTTGTAGTCATACATGTATTCCATTGTGTCCCTTTATATCCCTTTTTCAAGAATAACAATACACTTGAGATGAAACATGGGCCTTCAGGGAGTGTGAAATAATTGAGGTCACCATTTGATGAAATTAATAAGACATGCTTGCTTTGAATATTTCCTTTTATTTTAAATCTCAGTGAAGATTATTCTCAGTAAAGACTAAAAACAGTTTCTTTTCTGACACTCAAAAAAAGTACAATGTACATTTACTTGTGTAAGTTTACTCTTTATTCTTAGGCTGACACTGATATGACCCGTTTCTTTTGTTGTAAGAATTATAAAACAAAACATCCCGAGTATCAAACAGTGGCTTAGCAGTAAAATGGTGAATCAGTCAAACAAAAAATAACAAAAGTACACATGAATAGCCCTCTGTCCAAATATATAAACATGGTTTGGAATATTTGTAATATTATTATTATTAACGTTTTGTAAAATACATCCAATTTAATATTTTCAGACAGCTGCATGGCACTTTTCTCAGTGGTCGCCATATGATGAAATTAATAAGACATGCTTGCTTTGAATAAGTTGGTTTTCCTTTTATTTTAAATCTCAGTGAAGATTTATTATTCTCAGTAAAGACTAAAAACAGTTTCTTTTCCGACACTCAAAAAAAGTACATGTACACTGTACTTGTGTAAGTTTACACTTTATTCTTAGGCTGACACTGATATGACCCGTTTCTTTTGTTGTAAGAATTATAAGACAAAACATCCTGAGTATCAAACAGTGGCTTAGCAGTAAAATGGTGAATCAGTCAAACAAAAAATAACAAAAGTACACATGAATAGCCCTCTGTCCAAATATAGAAACATTTGATTGAATATTTGTTATATTATTATTAACATTTTGTAAAATACATCCAATTTAATATTTTCACAAAGCTGCATGGCACTTTTCTCAGTGACCTTTTGTGCATATCACTCATTCATAGAATTTTGCTTTTCATAGAATGTCCAAACATACCGTCGTGAGAATTTATATACATGTACCTGAGGAAAAATATACAATTTTTTTAATACAGTGTATTTTGTTACAGACATGATATAATAAACAATGTTTGTAAACAGGGGTTAATTTTGTAAAACTTTACTCAACCAAATTCATATCTTTTGTAAGTTTCCCAGATTCCAAATACCAATCTGCTCAACAATCTTCAAATTATGTTATGCAGAGAAGCATCTTGCTGGTAACACTGTTGCCAATACCAGCAACACTTTATGGAAAAACTAACAGAAACTATTTTGAATTAAATATATAAGTTCATGTACATATTAAAACCTCCAAAAGATCCTCTTAAATGTGTCTCATAAAAAACAGAAAGGCAGTACGTTATATGAATAATGAGTAGTATACATTTCAATTTTATCCATTGCGATCAAGTTAGACAAACTGTGTCAGTTTAAGCACATACTGCATTGTCGAATTAGATTTCATCAGGACTTGATATGTCATCAGTGCTGATGGAAGAGAAAAAAATTGAGGATTTTCATTTAAAAAAATTATATTTTGATTCTGAATATGAAATTGAAATTGAATGCTCTTGTGACTGATATTATCTCAAGAGTACAATGTACTGTGGGTTCACATAATATAAATACACTATAAAAAGTACTTCTGTGGATACTATAGAAACTGCAACAACAGCAAAAAAAGTACAACGCACGGGTAAAAAGAAAAACCTGAAACAGCCTCACTGTTGTAAAACTGTCTTCAAGTTGAATATGCATGAACATGGAAAGTAATTTAGACAGTATCTGAATTACTGCAGGCACAGTGCTTCTGAAGGTTTAAAATGAAAAATGGAACCGTCCATTTCAATATTCATTATAATTTTTTCTATTAAATAAAGTGGATTTACTTTCACTGCTGCAGTATAATCTGGCAGTGAACATGTTATGTCCCAACGTACCACGATCCCAAGTTAAGCTGGGACCGTCCCGACTTACAATGTACGTGCTCCCGTTGGAACACTTTAGTTTGGACAGGCACAACCTAAGTTGGGCCATCCCAACTGCAGTTGGGACTGATGATCTAGTTGGGGCATATAACAAACACATTGATTGTTAAGCTAATGCAAGCCCAGTGGATATTTCAGAAAGCCACTGTTAGTGGCAATGGACTCTCAATCAGTGCACAAGTACCCCTCAATGGTGACAAAGAGGTAGATATAAGAGGCACTTAATCACTGCCGGAACATACACGCCTAACGCCCTCTCCAAATATTTTGCTTAATATGTACACAAACCAGTGTTCATGCTAGGGCTGTGCCAAATACATGTATGCTGAATATTCAAGTATTCAATCATCAACTGAATTTCCAGTTCAGATCTTCAAAACATTCAAGAGGTGATGAAAGACATCCACAATGTTATTTTAATCACACAGGTTGCATAGTTACATTGTTTGTCAAGTGCGACCCTTTGTTGAAAGCCATTTTCACACATAATTTCCATGAGAGCTTCACATACAGCTTCCATGACAATTATCTCAACATTTCTTCTCTGATATTAGTCAAATATCCGAAACATTTCACTACCTGTTCTTTCTATTTTTAGTTCAATAAGCTCTTTATCAATTTTTCGACAAGTGTGGGTGCATTCAAGTCCCAATCGAGGGCAGTTTAGGCTGGTGTATGTTTAACTTTAATATTGCATTTTGAAATTGAATATTTGATGAAGTCCAAGTTGGAATAATCGAATACTAATTTATTCCAAAATGCACCTGTAGTCCTAGTTCATACATGCATGCAGTGTGCCCCATATATGCTTGACCTCTCTGCACTGTGCCACCTTCTGATCCGCAAAGAGTCCATATTGCATAGAAACTCTTTAAGCCTTTTCTTTCATCACTTCTAATCTATGATTAGCATACTCCCTCAGTCGCTCATACCTCGACCTGTACGTTAACCCGTGGGGACCACAGCTATCGTAACATTCATACTGCGGCAACTCCAACATGAAGTCTTTGAAGTCCCGCAGGACATACACAAAGATGTCGTCTATGTTGCCCTCAACCTTTGACCCTGCACTATCCTCAATGAGTTGCACCTGAATGGTTGTCCTCTGGTAGTACTGCGGACAACTCTCAAAGACGTCACAGTGCTGTAGCATCTTATCATCTACTTCATATATTTCACCTATTATGTTCTGGGGGGAAAAAGAGTCAAATGGTTTGGAGGGTGTGAGGCAACAATGTAACGTTTATGTTTTATATAAAAAAATTCCATCTTAAGTGAAGGGGTAGGGGGAGAAAATGTTGAAAGAGAGACATACATGTACATGTACATGTACATGTATAGGCCTATACCATTTCTTATAAGATTTATGCCACTGTGCAGTCAAGTTGTTACAAGTCATTACAGTTGTCAATAATATTGCAATCACAATCAAAGCTTTCCTTTGTCGTTACATGTATTTATCTCCTGTAAGGCCAAAAAAAAAAAGTCGGTCTCTGATCAGTCCAAAGTTCCAGAATTGATACGGCGATGCGGGGGTTTTTTGGGGGTTTTTTGGCCTTTTTTTTTCATGCTTGGATTGTACAGCTGTCACAACGTGTCGATTGACTGGCCGCCATTGTTGTTGATCAGCTGGCAGCAACTTCGTACCCACGGTCTACTATCATTCATTCAACATGAACCTCGTACTGGATCTATCACTGGGTATGAGCTGCCCAAGAACATTTAAGGCGGTGCAGCAAGCAATAAAGGGCGCTGTTGTAGCTAGCGCAGACAATTTTGGGGAAAAAACCATTGACGTGCACGATCAAAATCTACGCGCGCGTTGATCAGAGACCGACAATTTTTTTTGCCTGACCTATGGGCTCACTCGATTAACTCGCGAGTTGACCTGTGATTCAATTGTGATGGACATGACTGTGATATTGCTGGATATGTGTTGCAGCTTATGGATGTCATCATAAAATAATAAGGGGAAATAATTAAACTATATACAACAACTATACGGAAGGTATCAGGCTGGCAAGACTTATTAGCTCACAAATTAGCTTGCATATACAATGTATAGACAGGGATGCATTTTTTTTACAAATACTAAATCACCGATTTGCTAATTAATATCGGGCTTAATAAATAAAACGTACATTTCCAATCCCCTCCCTGTCCAGAAGATATGGAATGTTGCACTGCGATGCTATCACAAGGGGCCATTTCTGCACCGTCCGAGCCTGGCCTATGTAGTTGGCGACACCGTTCTTAGGACCAAACTGCTCAGCATTGGGCTGTCCCCGTTTAAGAGTTCCGTATACAAACAACCGATGAAACGCTGCCATGACAAAGGTAATCCTGTCCACCACACTTGAACTTGAAACACAAGAAAAAGTTTTGTAATTTATAGCATGAAGACGTTTCCTAAATTGCCAATATAACATGCTATAGCATTGTTGCCTGTTTCTCGGCTTACACTTTTACAGCCCTGAAAGTGTCGAATTTACACAATGTTTTGGTTGAATTGACACAACAAATGCTAAAATTAGGCCTACTTCCTCAGAAATCACATGGAAAACTAGACATTTGCATTTGTTGAGTTACAAATGCAGGGTGATTGGGAGATTAGAAGAAATTTGGTTGGTTTTTGATTTTGAGGCTTCTGTCTATATTTTACAATATGATCATGAGTGATTATTTTGTTCAAGAGTTATGAATGAAGTTGGTTACTTTTTCATTTAAAATCACTTGTAATTTGATTCCTCTGGGGCAGCAAACACACCAGGCCTTTTCCATTGTTTGCATCATGTTGAGCATGCGTGCTTTAGCTTATAACACGACGTAAACAATTGAAAAGACCGATGTGTTTGCTGCCACCACCATCTCAAAAGTCTCTCTTTGATAGGCACATTAATAATGCACCACTCGGGATTAGATCAGGGTCGATATACAGCGCATGTTCAAATTTTCAAGTCTATGCCATTAAAACCTTTCAGGAGAAAACTCGCAGAGAATTGTTGTCTGAGAAAAAAATTAAGATTAATTTGTCATGTTTGCACCATTCTAAAAACTTAAAAGGTGAGCGGGTCGTAGGCCTACCCGACAATGCCCAGCATTACCCGGTCATGTACGAATTAGACATCTGTGTGCTAGGAATGTCTTTAATTTCTTTGTCCAGTTCAGCATGTTCAGTGTGCTTCTAAACCACATGGCCAAATAAAAAAAAAGAAGATGTTTAGCCTCCTGCCTTTAAGGAAGGAGGAGGCCCTTTTTTTTTCCAAAGTGGCCGCCCGACCCATTTTCCAAAACGACCGTCTTAGAAAAAAAAGGTGCCATGATATTACAGGATGCTTTAGTACGTCTGTCATTATACAGTCCACATGGTCCAGTAAGGTATTTCATAATAATTTGGTAGTTTTGTTTTTTGATGTTTGCAAATGTTATATAGGCCTATTCCCTTTAAAGGGAATATACATCATTTGCTTTTACTGTAATTTTCAGAAATGGATGGAATTGGGAGGTTGGAAATATATAGCAAATATAGTTACACTGACTTTTTTGAGGTTTTGGGTTCGAAAATGCTATAAAAACCAAGAAAAACAATCATTTTCCTGTAGTCTGGTTCCCTGACTCCATATAAGAAGAAACAGAGCAGTTTACATACATTGGGGAATTGTAAGGTCAGGGAACCAGTGTAGCTGGCTCGTACCCGTTCATAGGTTTGTAATCGATTGCAAACAAGTGCGATGGTCAATTGGGGCCAGTATTTGAAAAAAAAAGCCAGTTTTTTCCAACGCTGATCGGCCGATCAGCGTTGGAAATTGATACAAAAATACAATTTTTCTTGAAAATGACAGTATACCAGGTGCCATGATTTTACAGGATGCTTTACACTGTCATTCACTAACAGTCCAGCAAGGTATTTCAAAATGATTTGGTAGTTTTATTTTTTGATGTTTGCAAATGTTGTATTTTCCCTTTAACACAGTCACAGCTGCAATGTGTTGTTGCATTTCATGCATATGTAGGCCTACACTACAACATGTATAAATGTACTGATGTACGTAGCAATATGGAAAGAAGCCGGTATAGCCTACAACAAGTACAAATCATTTTGAGGTATGAAGAGTAGCCAATTTTCCTTTTCTCTCTAAATACCATACAACCTTAAGTTGTACCTGTAATGTTTCTAAGTCCCAGTCCTGCCTGCAAGTGTATATGCCCGATGCTGTTTCAAAAAGTTCTCGGTAGCTCATCACAATGATCATGCTGGATTGTCGTACATTGACAGCTCATGGACTACATGCATGCGGGCGCGGCCCACACGTCTATCTATATCTGCAGACGACCGTTATTTAGTTGTAGCGCCCTCTAACTAGTGTTGCATGCAGATCGATGATCGCCGTGCTGAGAACATCGATAGTATTTGTTTTTTTGTTGGTTTTGTGTCCAACCAAGCTGACCACTTTAGTGGGATCATCAGTAGTATAACAATTTGTAGGTGTGTCAACTCAATTTGGCTGTTTATTGGTAATGTTTTATCAGAAATGCGGAATGCGCATTTTTTTTCTTGAAGAAAATAATTAAGATTGATTCTTGAGGGCGCCATTCATTTTGGCAGTATGATCGTGTTGGCATGCCACTTGTAAACAAAGCATCGGAACTGCGGAAGTGATGTGACCACGGGTGTGACTGACGCGACGGGAATTTTGAAAAAAAATACCTAATTATTTAAAGGAATTTAAGGCGTGGATGCTAACTGCTCGGCTTTTCATTGCAGAGATATAATTTGAGGTTGAATTGAAGTTAACACAAGATGCCGCGCACGTGTGCTTCTATTTACGATGTGAATGGTAAGTACATGTAATTAATTAACATCACCGTGAATACTGCACCGTACAAGTAAAACTCTGCCCTGCATGGATAGTTTTTGAACTGCTTTTTAAAGAAATGTGTAAATCAATCACTGTGTCTTTGGGGGTATTTTTTAAGCTAGCCATTTCATGAAAAAAAATGACTGTGATGATCGATCAGTATAAAAACAGGAATAGCAAGGTGGGTAAGCATTGAAACACGTCAATTTAAAATTCTTCAAAATGTTCAAAAATTCTTCCGCACACTAGTAAGTTGCAGCATGAGTATGTAGATACAGTCATCCTACTTAAGTACTATTCTTTATTCAAACATGTCTTGACGCAAACTGTTATCAAATTGGTAATAGTTTTCCATATTTTGCTGTATTCCACTTTTTCTTACTCTTTTTCTTTTTCTTGGTTAATTTATCTGAATTGTGTCATTTCAGACATAGTGGCATTTATCTTAAATATGCACAGACATAGATACAGGAACATTTTGTTACTTATGACATCTGTTGCCCAGTCCCCCCATTTTGATATCTAAACGTCTCCCCTCCAGGTGTGATGTGCGATCGCAAAATCCTGACCATCTCCACCCTGATTGGCCAGCGTTATCCAGAGCTCGGCCTCAAGCTGGGACTGACAGAGGCCCAGCTGGCACAGATCAAGGCCAGCGAACCTGAGGATCTCCAGCACCAGGTGTTCCACACCTTGGACCTGTGGAGACGGCAGGAGGGGAAGGGAGCAACACTGGAGAAGTTGAACGATGCCCTGAAGGAACTGGGATGGATCTCGGTGCTGACTCAGATCAGGAACACTCCAGACAACTTCTATGTTGTCGTATAAACTGTTTTGCATAGTCCCTGTACCATCCTAACCCACCCTGCGTGATGTTCCCCTTAGTCCCTGTACCGTCCAATGCCCCCAGGAGCACTTGTATGGATTCATCAGGGAGTAAATATAATGTAACACAATGTAGTGCAGGTGATAAATAGTTTGCCAGATCAGTTAAAACACCATCCAAAATGAAAACGGAAAACCCCAGCCCCACCCAACTCTACCCAACCCAAACCAACCTAACCCAACCCAGCACAACCCAACCAGACCCAGCCCTTTACAACCCAAGCCAAAACAACCCAACCGAACCAAACCAAACCCCAACCAACCCAAACAATCCAACCCAATTCAAGGGCGGATCGAGAACACAATTTTGGAGGGGCCCAACAAAATTTTGGTCCCCAAAAAAGTTGGTCAAAAAAATTACAGCGTGGGGTTCGGGGCCCACCTAAGGGCCCCAAAAAAATTTTGGATTCTAGATGCTCTGTGGTGCGATCTGAGGCAATTTCTGACCACTTTAATGTTTTTTTGAGGAAAAGATGGTGGTGTACGCATTGCCTGCCTTTATTGCGATGTCACATAGAAAAAAAAAAAATTGGTTTCGTTTTTTTTTGGGGGGGGGGCCATGGCCCCCTTTGGCCCCCAAAATCTGGACACTATTTTTCAAGATTCTGCAAAGTTTTTCACAAATACAATCTAGACCCTACTGACAATATCGATTTGCCATTGGTAATGGGATTTATATACTCCAGTAACGCAGTATCTGTGTGGACATGATATAACTGGTTGCGTGTTTATTCCTGACCTAATATTGAAATTATTCAACACAGAAAACACCCACAAATCTTGTGACAAGCTCAGTGTGTTGTCATTCTAAATGTGTGAATTTGTCTGCATTAAACCATGGCGCTATAGCTCCATGATTAAACGAAGTTTTTAAGATTTCTATGGATAGGCCTACAAGTGGGGCATTTTCACATTTTATGGACAGTGTAGTTAACATACTGTCAGATTTTTTGTTTGCTTTACTTAAAAACGATAGCTAATAATACCCTATTGTAATATCAGTGATGTACATTAAAGTTTTAAGTTGAGATCCATGTCAATGAACATACTCCGTTTGTAAAATTTTGTAAATGTACATACATGTATGTCTCAGTTCATAATAAAAATGGTCAACAGTTGTTTTTTTTTTCAAGAAATTTAAAGACGGTGTTTTTTGTCATTTTATCGAGTTGATTCAGGGCTCGCTCGTAGTCGATTGGGAGTATTAAAAGGTGTTTAAGTTGAATTGTTTATTATCATCCCGTTTTTTTCTTCAGATTTGATTTTCATTACTTAGCCGATAGTAATTCATTTTTTCACCCATTTTTTCAAGGTCATACACTTTATACACACATTTGATAGAGTTACACGACCACTCTAGATGCAATTGTTTATCCATTTCCCCTATCATCAGGACCAGGGCCCCTTAGGGGGTCAAAATGCGGTGCCCCCTTAAAAAAAAACCTTTTTAATAGTTCCTCAAATTCATATTTTAGGGCAAGGTCACGAAAAATGATTTGCCACATCCCCCCCCCCCCCCTCACCTCCAGAAAAAGTAGGTATAGAGCTCTGTAGTGGTGACATTATTTGGGTTTTAAAAGCTGTGTTATAGAAGGAAATTAACTGACCCGAAGAACGTTTGTACCAAATTTGAAAACAACTTAATGTAGAAATTGTACAAAAGGATGGATGACGAGTTCAAACTAAAGCTGAGCAATATATGCTGACATTGGGTTACGGATTTACAGATGCGAAAAACTTTCCGAATTCGTACAGCGTTAGCAAACAAAGTACGCCATCCATGGGCGTCGCGAAGGGGGGGGCAAGGGGGGCACTTGCCCCCCCCCCCCCGGAATAGCAACAAAAAAACAAAAAAAAAAGGAAGAAAAAGAAAAGAAAAAAAAAGAAAAGAAAAAGAGGCGCGAAGACAAAGCGGTGTAAATTTAATGAGTGGGGGGGGGGCAAAATGTCCCTGCCCCCCTCTAAAACTGATAAATCGAGAATGTGTTGAGAAATACAAGCATTTTTTGGCCAAAAAAAAAAAATTTGCCCCCCTCTAGAAAAAATCCTGGCGACGCCCATGACGCCATCTTCTTTTCTTGTCAGACAACCAAAGGCCTCGCCAAGCGTCTCTGCGAAGACAAGAACCAGAAGTCAGGCAATCGGGTATCCTCTTGCAGCAGGTAGTCAACATCCACGCCGTCACCATCGACGAGTTTTTCATGCGAGCGCTGCAGAGAGACTCTGACTCAGTTTGGTCTGACTCGCCACACCCGCTCAACAGCTGCCTTTATGCAGCTAAAGTTAAACATGACGAACGAAAGAAAGATACCCAACAAAACTATTTTTCGAACAAAAGTGTGCTGTGATATAGTAATATACCATCTTGTGGTGGCAGCAGCGCAACCAAATGACGGCATTAGGTTCTACAGAATTGGCCAACCAATTCCTGCAAAATTTTAGGGCAATCGGCCAAAGCATATGAAAAAATACTATTAAGCTTCAAATTAAACTTCACACTGGACAAGGGCCACTTAAGAAAACACAAGACAAGGTACATGTAGTTAGAAAGCGCTTCTCACCCTTTAAAATTTTAAGCAAATCTGTTCAAATCATGACAATAAAATATGGAGTGGGTCATTTTTGATTAAATGCAATTTCTGATCACTTGTTCAGATTCGCGAATTATTTTGGAGCAGCCTTCAGTTGATCTCAATTTTCCACTGGCTATCACTGCCAACCTGAGCTTCCGTCCAGGGATACCTTTTTCCCTACCCCCATGTTCTTCCCCCCAATGCATTTAAGATTTATAAGGGGATGAATGACATCTTTCAAGAGGGGTTGTTTTCAAAGCGGACGGGATCATGAAAATTATCGGACATTAGGTGGCGCTCTTCATTCCTGCTTTTTTGTCGACGGACACACGATTTTTCCGACAGGCGGATTTCGCCCAACCTCGTCCCCAGGGGGTCGAGCAGTACGCGCCCACCACTACCTGCTCTCTCACCCTGGTATTGGATCATTTGCATGTGAAAGATTTTTGAACACGTATGCAAATGAGGAATAGTCTGCTGCCTGCCTGTGCGTTACATTTGCGTTTGTTTTTATATGCGGTGTCTGGTGTAAAAGCAGAATCAATTCGTCGCAGCGCGAGCATGGTGTGAGTAACGAAAACACGATTTTAAACTGTAACGATCTTAACGAGACAACATGCAGTATCACGTCGTATTAATATTAACAAATTGGAAAGGAAATGTATATTTTCGAGAATGCGTGGACGAATGATCGCGAAAAACACGTACTGCACGTTTTGAATATCAATACCAGTGGCGTAGCCACGGGGGGCGTGGGGGGGGGGGCGACAGCCCCCCATGAAACCTTGTCGCCCCTCCCCCCCCCCAGTCGCCCCCCCCCCCCCCCACTGAGATTTTGAGTTTCTAAAAAAATTATAATTGATCTACATGACGCCCCCCCCCCCCATGAAATGGTCCATCCGCCCCCCAGCCCCCCCCCCCCTCCCCCCTGAAAAATTCCTGGCTACGCCACTGATCAATACCAAGTACACAATATAAATCCATTTCCAGCCAATTGCGGTATCGAATCAGGATACTGGTTTAGGACAATTTCAAATTAGAAGGCAAGTCATTGTTGTTATGAACCCATTTTATGACGTTTTAGGACCTTTCAGCTTCAATTCAGTGATCATCTGACATCCCTGTCCATTCGGCGCCATAATTGGTCGAAACGTTTAGATAGATCGATGATTATAAAGTAACATTCAAAAGTAAAAAATCATCATGAATTTCCCATCTGATATTTCAACAGCAAGAAGTCTGTCCTGTTCACAAGGTCCGTCAGCTTGGGTATGATGCTCAGCAAGCCACGGTAGAATTGCCGCTCCTCTGGCCCTTCAAAGTACTCTTCGGGCAAAGCGTCCACGCTCGGGTGGTCCAACTTGGTCAGGTCCGTGTCCCGATTAGTCAGATTGGACCACGTGGTCAGGATGACCTCCAGGTCTTCCCTGGTCCGCCGCTGCCGCTGGTTCTCCATCTCCTCAGGCAGCTGACGCAGCGTGTGGTAGACGTTCATCTTGACGTGCTGACGGAGGAGCCGGAAGTTGTGGAGGTTGTTTAGGAAGGTTTTCAGCAGGGAACGGAGGTCGATGGCCGGAAGGTCAATTGTCTCATCGAAGGTCCAGGATGAAATGCAATCTTCCAGCATCCGGAGAGAGGAGAAACACTGGACCTGCCGGTAGGTACGTATAATCAATCAAATGTTTTCTTTAACCGGTAACAAAGTTTTTTCTTTGATTGTTTTGTCAAAAAAGTAAGAAAATACATTCGTCAACTTTCACAAGTATCCGTCACAGTGGTAAAATGTTTTAAAGGTTCGGCAAGTGGTTCAAGGTTTGGCAAGTGCGGGATGCCGATTTTTTAATTTTATAGCATTTTGTATTGCTTCAAAATCTCACAAAATCACTTACTGACCAAACACGAGCGCGTTTTGATTCTCTGCATGTCATGCAAGGTATTACTTACGCTATTATAACCCAACGCTAAAATCAGTAACTGACAAGTGGTTCTTGCCTATAATTATTAAAACGGCGATAACTTTGATTATTGATTATACAGGTTATACCACTGTTTTGTAAGTGTGTTCAAGTTTAGCGGCAAAAGGGCGATACTTTCCTCAACGACGCACCTGTACTCGACTAGAATAGAGTCCTATAAAAACCAAAGCAATTTTGAAAAATGTAGCTAGTTCAATTCTTTGTTCAAATACAAGTTCCAACTTAAATGAGGTGGGAACCTTCATCTTGAGGCCATAAAACTCCATTAAAAACTGCAGAGACCTTCATGTGTTAGTGGGAAGACCATGGTTTTTTATATCGTGGATAGGCACGAGTAAACCTTTGTGTGCATCCCTTGTTACTAAAATCAAGTAACACGATTATAGAAATACTACACCGTATTTCTATAAAATAATTAGAGAAAAATAATTGTAAAACTATGACAACCGAATCGCCATTTGTTCGGTTTGTGCAGCTTGAATTGATGCAGGTAGAATACTTTGAAACTCTGTAATCTTGTCTTGGGACTTTTTCATCCATTTGTGCGTTTAATATTTCTTGGAAGTACAATCAATTGCTATACATAATGATCTGAGGTCGCTGGGTTGGGCATCTTAATATTACAACTGTTGGTATTGTCTGGGTACAAAGGTTGACTGTTCCTTCTGATTTCCCGAAGAATCTTCTCATCATGCGCGACCAGTTTAATACGCAAAATGATAGCTCTGGTGATTTGTGCCCCATGTTGTTGGGTTGGGTCTCATCATTATAGGCCTACCATTACCTACCTGCTCAGGTCTGATCCGTCGGAGAGCTTTGATGAAGTATCGCACGGCCTTGTCAAACTTGCTGGTGCAGACCAGGGTGGCGTGTAGCTGCTCCTGGTAGTGGGTGTGTAGCTTCCGGACCAGTAGAAGAAACTGAGCCTTCTGTTCAGCTGCCTCTGCGGATGAAATGAAAAGAAAATGGCACAAGTCAAAGAGGGAATCTAGACAACCCTGCTGGTTATACCTCGACCTACTCTCCCAAAGGATCGGTTGTAAGGCGATGGCACGATTGATGGTGGACTTGTTTGCTAAAGAATCTTCCTATACCCAATTCTCGTATGGTTGGAACTCGGCAAGCATCTCCGGTTTTTAATATCCTTTTCTAGTCTGCAGTGTTGGACCCTGTTGCAACGAACAGATATATGTTGTTTAGTTATAGCTTAACTGGGTCCAAGTGCACACGGAGACAATATTTTAAAAACTTCAGCCAAGAAAATAGGTATCTGCCACTGTGTTTACACCTACAAGGAACTTTTTGAGTGATTCCAGATCGGCTACTACGTCATAGGCAGGCACCCCGAATTCAAATCTTCACGTATGGAGGTTCGCTCAGTTGAAATCGTCTAGTCTTCCGACCTACGCAACCTTATATCATCCCACCCAGACTAACATCTGCATTGGATGTCTAGTCCGTAGCTATTATGCCGTGGATTTGACCCAGAACTTGGGGTTTTCCCCCCTCCTCTAAACTATTTAATGAATACGTAATTCTTCGTTGTCTACTATCCATATAAGTTCCATTCGTCGTTGGCTTCATTACCACATTATTATAGAAAATAAAAGGCGTCTACTGCTACATGGGTAGGATTAAATACCATTACAGCCTAATAATTCTTCCACGAGTGCAGAGTGCCATTTAAAATAAAAGGAATCCGTTGATTGAAAGTGAAGATTTTTTTTACTGACCGCCGCGAAGACGATTGTCAATGTCGTCGTCCTCCCAAGAAGCATTGGATAAAGCCGCCATATGGTGCTGCATTGCCTAGTAAACAGGACTTCCGATGGAGCTGCAACTTGGTTTACTACCCAATACACATATAACTGTCCGTCAAGTCCACTTTTGATATACGATTATGTTGAGAGAGAAAGCCTGCTTCTCCAAACGTGCACTTCGTCGTCGTTGATTCAAACTTTAGTTTGTCAATCTACGTGAGCTTAGAAAATGATCCAGTTTCCAGACTGCTATAGTTTTAACTTCAGAGAATCGAGAATGCATCTAAAGCGTGGAACGGTATAGGACACATTCTTTCTCAGGTATACAGACTGGTATAAATCTCGCCTGGCACAACCAAGTTAAGGCTAGCCTGAAATTTCCTTACAGTGGTCACACTGCTGCAGCAGCAATTGGCAGCAAGAGGTTCCAAGGCATCTAGTTCGCAACAGGTTCCCAAAAGTCGTAAACCTTTGAACACACATCATTATAATGTATTTCGTGTTTGATTTAGCGCGGTAGCACGGCCAGCAACGCTGTTCGCATTCATCACTAAGTGACGAAAATCGAACTCTGCAAAAAGTAAACGCCACCCGTTAAATACAATGAGTGCTTGTTGAAAGAGTTTTACGTTTAATACATCGCACCACTTAGCGACCCCGAAATTATTATTGACACTCTAATTCATTTCTCGTTCACATGAATCATACAAAGCAGGGCATAGGCCGCATGTTTTACATGTAGGTCCTACATAGGGTGGAACTTAACACGTACGTGTATACAGTTACCGTTTTGCTCCATCAGTAACAATGTCATAAAATAATTTCAATGAGTAATCATTGACCTCATTAATTAATTGAAGGAAATTAATGGAGCCGAAGGTTTGAGAATTGGGGAAATGCATCTATTTGCCCATTGATAACAAATTACCGGTCTTAAAATCAACTATATCTTTAGTCACCACGAGGAACTGCCAGGGGAGTCTAGGTTATAGGGTTGCCAATTGGGAAAGACGGAACTATGCATTGTGAAATAAAATACCAGAGGTAGTTGCATGTAAACCCCACAAAATCACAACTACTGTACGAATGAGAAGGCCCTTTACGTTCATTTGGGAACCGATCAACCGATTAATTCGCTAACAAAGGTTGAATTTAAGATATTAAAGGGTCGCAATCTTTTCAGTTTAGTTTGGGATCCGGAAAGGGACTTGTTGACTACAGTGTTGACTCCAACGCTGAAAATTATAATCTTTGCCTGGATTTATATGCCCCTTGGGTATGGGGGGGGGAAACAGGAACAAAAGCATCAATAATCTCTTTGAGTTTGAGAGTTAGTAGATGTTCGAAGGGCAAGTGATCCGGCGAATCGGACTGGAAACGCTCCAAATTTGGGTTTGGGGTTTTTTCTGGGGGGCGGCACTAAGCAGTGGGCTAATTTCACCAAATTAATTTAATCTCAACAACATTTCCTTCCGTGTAATACCGATAAGATATGATATTTTAATACCTTGGCGTAAAACTCATACGCGGACATACATGTTTGAACGGTGACCCAACATAATACATAGCCAGGTATATCCCCCGCCCAAATCATTGGTACATGCAGTTTGACGGAGATATTATCTTGTTTAGTTTTGACTTGATCACACGAGTCCGGTCCACAATATTTGTTGTACGTTTTCCAATGACAATTATTCCGCTTGATTAGAATTAAACGTTATGCCCTGCCGTTGTATAATTATGTACGTGTGTATACAGTTTACTCTAATATTCTTAGGAAATGTTGAGGGTAAAAAGTACACTAGTTTTGCTGCAAGCAATATGTTGTTGGTAGTTTTCGCGGTAGTTGAATATTGGATTGATGGAGGACTCTCGTTTGAACGGTTGATTGATTGAGGACTCTCGATATGCTGCATGTGTGAAAACTAAGAGCTCTAGGCACGAAAGGAAAACTGTTAATGATATGAGAAGTTGAGAACACTGCAGGCGTGTGGCGCCTACCAGTTTTTAGCAATAGCAGAATTCAAAGTGTTAAATGCCCCATGCGAAGGTCTCTTTTGTTGTATTTGGTCCTCAATGTCCTACCGATTACTGTGACCCAGCACTGAACGTCCAGGTTAATATTCGTTGTAAACATGTTGATGTCGCCATCCGTATAACATATGTGGATGGACGAGGCACTCCGCGCCAGTATATACAGTCGCCATCCGACTTATCACGAGTTGTACATTAACTATAAAAAGAGGATAAGAAACTGTAGGCCTATGTGTCATTTTCAACAATGACCACACGTTGATTAGTAAAGCTTTATCAAGAACAGTGGAATTAGCGATGTCTTGTTAAAGTCGGGGTCTACCCGATGTTCCCCAATACCAGTGTTCATGGTTAGGGTTAGGGCTAGGGTTAGGGTTATAGGGTATGGGATTTCGGGGAACATTGGTATTGGGGAACATAGGTATGCATCCGTTAAGGTCGTAGCGCAATTATTGATTACCAGCAATTACCTAAGGTCGGGGGTTGTTTGTGTAGACATTTATAGGCTGTACCGATGTACACTTTTAGCAACCTCAAAGGAGCGTGTTGTGGAACGCTCAAAATTCACATGAGACAAAATGTTAACAAAAAAACTTAAATCGTACATAACGTACCACACGACACAAGAATTATACTTTAAAAAAGTAATCATTTAGGTGTATGACATGTATTATTAACCTTACCTGGCTTTGTTTTGTGCCTCATTTTTGTTCCTTCAAATGTCGTGTATCCCTGGTCCTAAATGTTGAACTAAACTGAATTGAGCTGTAATCGCGACTTTCACGCGTTAACGTTACACGCGTCTTGCACAATGGAAATCAATAGGAATTTTACCGCCTACGTCAACATGTTCATTTGTATGTTAAATTGAGTGACATAATTAATATGAAGAGCCAAGCACATGCTCTTTTTAATGAGGGTGAAAAAGTAATACATGTTAGTGAAAAAATCCCTTCAGACTCATTTTGTCGGATCGGGGCATTTATAGCCTATAATTATATACATTGCTTTTATTAATAATTCCCATGACGCTATTAGCAGGGGGTATTTTACGACAAAGGCAAAAATATGAAACGATTTTGCCTACACAAAGACCTTAATTAACAGCGAAAGCCTTGATTTCCCATAACCTTTATTTGAGCAAATTGTTTGGCAATTCAACTCAAAACTCTTTATTTAAGTTCAAGGCACAATCACAATTATAGTATTCCTGACTTCCGCATGCAGCGTATAATTAAACTCATTACTCACCCTGACAGCATGGTCTGACCTTGCCGGCCTCACGACCAGAGCGGTGATTTGGGAATACGGCTGTATTGTAATTGTGTATTTCCATTGATCGGTTTGTGGGTTGAAGTAAGTCGCAAAACAAGTTTACCTAAACACGTACACATGCACAGATAGGCCTAATCCACTTTCGCATACAAAATAGTGTTTCTGCAAAACGTAAAGACAGTAATATTCCTCGAAGCATCGAAAAAGGGAAAAGTTGGGTGTCTGATTGGCCGCTTGCAATGGCGCAGTGTAATTCCCTCGACTTCAAATCTCTCCGGCCCTGGTTCGAATCCCTAACCAATGCCGACATGACGGAGGACCGGATTTTCAATCACTACATGATACAATGGGTTCCTCCTGAAATTTCTTCTCACTTCAAGGTTATTCTTGGGACTTAGCATGCAGGTACAGTGCTTGTGCACACAATGTTTAATTACTAGGAAGAGTTAAATAAATTAAAATTTAAAAAGTAAAAAATACCTATTGCAGGCGTAGTCTTTTTCGATGATGGGTGAAGACGGTTGAAGTGGTCCATTATGATGGTGACGTTGCTGCTCGATATGGACGCTGGCCATGCAACTCTCCCGAAGTACATGTACAGTCCGCTGGCCGTGCAACTCTCCCGAAGTATAGTCCGTGAGGCGAGGGGAGTACCGTTTCACTCGCACTCGTCGCGCTGCTCTGCGGAACCCGAACTGAGCGTACAAAGAGAATTGTAGGCGTGTCGTTGCGAAGTGCGTGAATGCCACTGTCACGGTCACCACTGTGACAAAGCTTGAGCCTCCATAAAGGACTATTAATCTTTGCTAACTTGTTTTGTGATCGATAAAAGGCCTACATTCAATTTATCAGCAAGATGCTAATAAATATCGACAGACGAACAACAGCTGCACTTTTTTCATAACTGATATACTTTAGGCCCAATAACACACAATGTGAATATTCCTTTACGGTGAAAAGCTCTCCCTAATAATAAGAAACAGTGTACGTAACGGTTATACTTCTAGCTTCACTCGCATGAGACCCGGTCCGTCCGACAAGCCAGCTCCGCCCGCAAAACAAAATGGTCCCAGCGATTATAGTCAAGCCTCTCTGGTGTCACTGGCTGTTGCCTATGCCGAATATTGCCTGGACCGCAGTTATAAAATACGTCTCACCAAAAATTCGATCGAAACTCTTGTAGAATCTCTCCGTCAGCAACTCGATCGGGCCTTGAACCCAAAGGAAACCGCACCGCTTAGAACCCTTGATGCATTGCCATATATACCCAACTGCCAGTGTTGTTCGCGCAGCAATTTGCTCCGAATTTGACCTTTGCCGTCAAATTCTCAAGTTCTCTGGGAAAATGAAGCAGTTATAGCACCCAATGTGCAATTAAAATGCCCGTCAAAATACGAACTGGGTCGACGTACAGGGTTTTGATGTGAGGAGAGGGCGGGTCTCTACCCGTCAGTCATTCAGATTGAAGGTCTAAACACGGGATGACAGAAAACACTGAAATACATCTTTAAAAGGCCATATGAGGATGTCAATATTAAGGCTGGCGCACTCATCATACACATTTACAAATGACAAGGATAATATTCGTTAATAAGCTTTTCTTTTGTAATGATACCTGGTAAACTCCATTATTTCACATAATGGCAACTACATATATTGTGCTTTAAAAAAAAAAGTATGTCATCGTTGCTTTAAATTGCACATTTACTCAACTGAACGGTTAATTTTTTCTACCGAAGGAGTACCGCAAATCATGTAACCCTTCTCGTTGTAATCTTATAGTGTCTCAAAATGCACACCCTGTAGTATTTTGGACATGATCCTATCCATGGGTGCACGCGAAATCTCTGGAGTGAACATAGTGCAGTATCTTCCCCAGGGACAAAAACTGACTATTCTAGACTGCAAAAACCGTTGATTACTATGGCATGAATTAGTACATGTACACCTAGTCTCTCGTCCGTTAAATCATGGAGGTATAGCAGCAGTGATGTTGCAGCTGTTTATAAACAGTGAACAAAAATATTCA